TCTTCAGTACTCTTTGGAGTCATTTGTCTAGTCATTCATTTTCTTTTACTGACTCAGTTTTTGCCTCCATCACTTATTGCCTCAGCTTCCTCATTGGTAAAACAAAGATAATAATACGTATCACTTAGAGTTGTCATAATGGTTGAACTTAATTAAATAATGTATATAAAGTACTTAGCACTTAATAAATGCTCAATAAATAGTGGTTGTTTTGTTGCTGTAATAAAAATAAAAACAGTAATAAAAATGAGAACTTTATAATAGTGAAAGACATTATTGAGCAGCTATTCCTGTTTCAGATATTGGTTAGGCACTGGAGATATTGTGATAAATCTTATAGATATGATCCCTTCCCTCAAAGAGCTCACAGTGCCATAGGTGAGAAAGATCTGGAAACAACTTCAAGAGAGTGTTTTAAGTGCCAAGATAGAGAAGAGAGAATGGTGTGGTCCATGAGTCCAGGCCTAGTTCTGCTTCTTATTTTGGCTTTATCCTCATTCTGCAAGTGTCCAGAGGTAGTTTAATTTTATTGAATTTTGCTGGCTAGTTTTCAAGGTCTCAGATATCCAGATATCAAAGTCTCCTTAGGAAAAGGGATCAGTGCCTGTCTTTCATTTGGATTTGAAGGTGGGGATTGGGGAGAAATTAGTATAATATATCATTTCCTGCCCTTCCCTTCCCCCTCAACCTAGTCAACCCATACTGAGGTTTTTTCCTAGATAAATTAGATTAGCTTCTATAGATTAGGTAATTAGCTCTTTAATATAATCACTGTTGAAACATTGACAGCAAATACTTTGGGGAAGAGATTTCTTCTTTTGTACACAACGGGATTCAACAAAATGTATCCAGCTTAACAAATGTTCATATTAAAGTAACTTTAAAAGAATTATGGTGAATCCCAGCAAGATGGAGCAGTGACATGGTGTCCTGATGCATAAATCTGGAGGCAAAGCCTATGTATTAAAGAGAAACAAAATATAGTTACTATGACAACAATCTGGAATTATAGTTTATAACCACTTATAATTATTAGCAAGATTGTTAATGCTGCTTCGTGTTGATCCTCAGAATCATGGCTTTGGTTGATCTTCCTTTTTATGTGACAGCTTCAAATCAAGTTCTGTTATAGTATTTCTAGGATTTTCAAAGTTAACATTTACAAATAGATGCTGGGCCATTTTTGTAGATGATTTTCAAATTTAGTGAAATGTTTCACTTTCACTTTTGTCTGAAATGACTATAATGCTGTGCATTGAAATAATGGGTACTTGCCCTGAGATTACCAAATTTGAGGGCTGATAAATCTGTACAGAGTTGAATTAATTTTTTTCGTATTACCAAAGCAAGATAAATATAGTTAAGTTTGCTCAATACCAGTTGTATATTCTTCCAGGCCATTGAATATGCTTATACATACATGTAACTTTAATGTAAATATAATGTACATAGTCTTTTAGCCTTTTTTCACTTATAACATCTTATGTGCTTTAACATGTTTTCAAAGGACTGCATAATATCCTTTAGTATGGACGTACCATTATTTATTTAATGGATCAGGTAAAGAATTGTGTCTATTTTTTTTTACTATTTGCAACTATATTCCACATTGTGAGGAACATTCTTATAACCATATCTTTGTATACACTCTTAATTATTTCCTTGTGATAGATTTCTAGAAATAGAATTACTGGTTGTTTTTAGAAACTTGATACATATTGTCAAATTACCTTTCAGAAAGGTCTAACCATTTTACAGTCCCATAAACCCCAGCAGTTCATGAAAGTGCCTATTTTCTTATGCACTTAGTATTTGCTATCCTTTGAAAGTTTTAAATTATAAAATGTAAGTTAGTAACATTATAAAAAGTAGGAAAATGGGGAAAAAATCACCTAGAATGTTATTTCCTTAACATGGTAGTGATTGTAATATTTGTTATAGTATTCCTAGGTTTTTATCATATGTGTAAATGGTTGTAATTATATGTACCATTTTGTTTTCTGCTTTTTTCATTCATAAGTAATTTTCCTTGCCTTTACTTGAACTTCACAATTGAAATTTTCACTGGCCACATAGTAGTACAATAAGTATTCATGCTTACCTAACCCTTTCCCTATTCCTGGACGACAACTTGCTGCCAGTTTTTGTTGTGTATAATACCACAATAAAAACACAAAGAGATAGCTACTATTTTTTGAACATTTATGATGAAACAGACTTTATACTTTTTTCTTCCTTTGTATTAATTCTTTAGGATTGATGGTCCAGGATTGGTAATATTGGATCACAAACATTTTTATGGCACAGCCTTTCTTATGTCACTGTTTTCTTTCTTATTTCTTTCTACCTTCAAACATCTATTGAAACTTAAAATGTGCCAAGCACTGTACTAAGAGGCAATGAGAATACAAAGATGAATCATTCAAAGTCCTTGGAGTCAGGTATTAAACATATATGATAAAGAGAGGCATGATAAAAGACATTACTTGATGACAGTCCACTGATCTGTTGGTCAGTTGGTCGACCTGTTTGTCCATCCATCCATCTATCCATTAATCCACACACGATTTTCCTTCTGAAGCATGGAAGAGCTAGTTACATGATATCCTTTTACCCTTAAACATATCTGTGCTATAACAGAACAAGGAAATTTTCTCAACCACAATACAGTGACCAAATTCAGGGAGTTTAACATGACTGTGATACTATTATTTAATCTGTTTCCATATTAAAATTTTACCAGTTGTCCAAGAAATGTCCTTTATGGCAATTTCCCCACTTTGATCGAGGATCTAATTGAAGATCATGTATGGTTTGTCTGTTTTGTCTCGTTTAACCTGGAACAGTTCTTTGTCTTTCATAACATTGATGTTTTGAAGAGTAAGTCTGTTATTTTGTAGAATGTCCTTCAGTTTGAATTTGTTTGAAGTTTCCTTTTGTTCACATTCAGATCATGCATTTTTGTCAGGAATAGCATGTAAATGGTGTTCTATTCTTTGTGCACTGTATCATATTAGGAGTCATGTGATGTCAGTTGGTCCCCATATTGCTGAGATTTGATTAGTTGATTAAGGTGGGGCCTGCCAAGTTCTTCCACTGTAAAGTGACCATTTTTAATTTTTGTAATTAATAAGTAATTTATGGGGAGATATTTTGAAACTATAAATGTCCTGTTCCTCATCCAGCTTTCACCCACTGGTTTTATCATCTATTGATGATTTTCTTATGTCATCATTCCTTATATTAGGTGGCTTTGTATTGTAAGAGCTTTCACTTATCTATTTGTATCAGTATGAACTCATGGATTCTTATCTTATTGAATGTGTTATATTCTTTTATTATTTATTTTGATGCCCAAATTGTCCCATATTTGGGCAATGGGAACCCCTTTAAGTTGGCTCCTGTGTGCTTTTGATATGTTCCCATCATTCTTTGAGCACTTCTTTACCTGGATAGCAAGATGATCCAGGTTTATCTTATACTTTTCTTGCCCCAGTGCTGGAATCCACTATTTCTCCAAGGAACCTTCATGCCTTTTACTTTAGAAACCAAGAAATGAGCTAAGATGTATGTTTTTTTTAAGAGATGCCAAGGTGATTTTGCTGGTCTGTCTGGAACCCACTGTAATAGAGCCTTCTTGTATATAGGAGTTGCACACAGATATTTGCTAAATGGACAGGACGGAGGAGGAATTGAAATAGTCCAGGGAGATGAAGGAACATAAATAGAGTCACAGTATATGGAAGAGCCCTACTCACTCAGAGGAGCTACAGTTCAGTGTGGCTTCAAGAAGAGACTAGAGAATGAGGCAGGGACCAGTTCATTGAGGACTTTATTTGCCTCCCAAAGGAACTTAACCTTAGAGAAGATGTGGAGCCATCATAAGAAAGTTTAAACTAGGTGGGTAAGTGATCAATTTTGGTAGATTTGCATTTTAAAGTCACTACTGTCACCAGTGGCAGTACATAGGGTGGATTAAAAAGTGTTTAACGTTATTTTCCAACAGGGTTGGCATTTGAAGGCTTAAACTTTTCCCCTAGAAGCCAGTATTGCAGCTGCTTGATACTAAAACCAGCTGCAATAAAGGAATTGTTGGCAGTAGTTTAGTGAAAAGAGAGCAAGAAAGAGTGAGTCCGTACAGTATGCTAAAGCTTGAATCATTGATTTATCTGTTTGTGAAATGGCAGCAACTCTTCTTTTCTCAGTAACTTTATAATCAGGACTGGCAGCCGAATATGTGTTCTCCAATGGAAAATAACATAAACAAAAGTACATAAAACAATACTATCTTTTTAAAGAGTTTTTACTTTGTGGTGAGGAGGAGGAGGAGGTAATTAGGTTTATTTATTTATTAATGGAGGTACTGAGGATTGAACCCAGGACCCCATGCATGCTAAGCACACACTCTACCATTGAGTTATACCTTCCCCTGCCAATACTATCTTTTTTTTTTGTAGGGAAAAAATTTTTTTATTTAGAATGTAAAACAGTATACATGTATATTCATCTGTTTAGTTGCTTATGTGGTATATTCTCTCTAGAACAGTAGTTCTCAACGGATAATTTTGCACCTCAGGGACATTTAGAAATATCTGGGTACATTCTTGGTTGTCACAGGTGGTAAGAAGGTGCTACTGGCAGCTGGTGGATAGAATTCAGAGATGCTGCTAAACGTCCCATGGTGCACAGGGAGCCCTCTTCTCCACAACAAAAAGTGATCCTGCCCTAGATATCAGTAGTGTTGACTTCAAGACAATACTATCTTTTTTAATGAAAAATCTTGGTAAATATGAATACTGCTACATTTTATTTTCTTTATCTTTGGTAGTAGCATCAATAATAGGATCGATATATACATTCAGTATTATAGACATTCTACCTGGTTTGTGCGGTAACCAAAATATGAAATGTAACAAATATGTTTTCTGAAATAATAGCAAATTCTATCTTTAGCTTGAAGTTTGCTGTTACCATAAGTTTTATTTCTGTGCTATTTACAGCCTGTATCCCAACCAGCTGGAGCTGAACAACAAGCAACTCTTCTAAAACCAGATTTAGTTCGAAGGTGAGTATCTTGAAACTAATACAGTGAAAACAGTGAAGGTATGTTGAAGTATTTGCATTCATTAGGTGCTTAGTGTGTGTCCGATAAAAATAGTAGGTATATTTTTTACTTTTTCATGTTAATAAGGATCATATGGATTGTGAAATTATTGATCATTTTCTTGTTCTCATTATTATAATATTCTGTTCTTAAGAAAAAAATATAAGGATTAAAAAAGGAAATAAGTGATAATGTAGAGTGAAATTCCAGTTAATCTAAATAAATAAATTACAACCAGATATATAATTGTATTATTATTTGGTAATTGTAAACTACTATTTTTCTCTGTCTTGTCCAGATTGAGTAATTTCTATTTTCTGTATTCAAGTTCATTGATTCTTTCCTTGGTCTTATTCATTCTGCTATTGCGCCCATTCAGTGGGTTTTTTATTTCAAATATGATTGTACTCTTCTATAATTTTCATTAAGTTCTTTTTAAAATATCTTCTCTTTTTTATTTTTCATTTGCTTCAAGAGTATTTTTAATTGCTCATTGAAGTAATTTGATAATGGCTGCTTTAAAATCCTTGTCAGGTGGTTCCAATATCTGATTCATCCTGGTGTTGGCATCTATTGATTGTCTCTTCATGTTCAGGTTGTGATTTTCCTGGGTTTTGGTATGACAAAGAATTTTCATTTCTCTCTGGGACATTTTGGATATAATGTTAGGATATTCTGGATCCTATTTAAATACTCTATTTTAGCAGGCAGTCACCTTGTTTAGGTGCCTAGATCCTAGTCTACTTTTGTGGGCTGTGGTTCTAATGGCAATTTAGTTTTCAGAGTCTTGTATTATTCTGGTCTGCTTGGTTCACCTGACACCACGGAGCCCCACTACTGGACCAAGGGGTTGGAGAACATTTCTCTAGGCCCACTGCCCTAGGCCAGCTCTCCAGACCACATGCTACTGGTGGGGCTCCTGCCAGCATCACCAAGGGAGGAAAGGGCCCACCTGAACCAACTTCTGTTTCTGGTTTGGGGGTTCAGGAGACCACTGGGCTAGAGCTGCCTTTGCCTTTTGACCTGGAATCAAGAGACAATTAGCCTGAATGGCATTCTGTCACTGGGTGGATAATCAGGAGATGCCAAACTGCTATATTTCTCCTCAAGTCCTGGGAGTCACTAGCCAGTCTGCCTTTATCTTTTCACGCTTCAGTGCCCTCCTGTGATATTCTTCTTTATTATTTCCAGTTTTTTTAGTTATACTTAGTGAGGAGGAATAGGGAGAGTTGAGTTTCTGCCATCTTGCTCTGAACCCTAAACTAGGGCTTTCAGATAACTGCAATGTGAATGATATAGCTGCACTGACTAGAATTATGTCCCTTTCATCCTGTGAAGGTGTTATTTGTTACTGCTATTTCTCTGTGTATTAAAACTATGAGCAGGATTAAGGTATTCTTCTTCCACTGCTTGTATTTATGCAAATTCTTTTTCACACGAATATAGAAAAATTTTAGGAGTTATTTTTCTTTTCTTGTATATCTTTATATAGATACTTCATGAGTAGTTTTTAGGAGAAAGGAATTTACCTAAAAATTAAGTTTAAAAATATCTGGTGCTTAAAGATCTCATTTAAGTTTCAAATGCATTTATTGGAATTTTTGTATTTATTAAAGTATCTTCAAATTTATTAAATAAAGAGCTGAAAAATGCCTTCAACACAGACCAGCTGAACATTTGCCTGCCCTTTCATAATCATATTGCCTTGAACTTGCAAAATATAACTAGTTAGAATTAGTCATGTTGAACCATTTTCACATCATTCATTTTTAGTTTTTTTAACCAGAATTGTACTGTAGTTTCTTTTACTATTTCTTTATTTGTTCGTTTGTTTTGTTTGTTTTTACTGAGTTATAACTGACAACCTTATATTAGTTTCAGATATACAGTATAATAATTCAAAATTTGTATATGTTGTGAAATGATCACGGTAAGTAGTTACCATCCATCACCAAATATAGTTACAGAATTTTTTTTCTTGTGATGAGAACTTTTAAGATCTACCCTCTTAACTACTCTGAAATATACAATACAGTATTATTAACTATAGTCACCATGCTGTACACTACATCCCCATGACTTACTTATTTTATTACTCTAAGTTTGTACTTTTCAACTCCCTTCAACTATTTCAACCACCCTCCGCCAGTTCCTCTACTCTTTCCCCCAATCCCTGCCTCTGGAAACCACCAATCTGTTCCTTGTATCTGTGAGTTTGGGATCTTCTTCTTATTTGCTTTTTAATTTTTTTTAGATTTCACATATAAGTGAGATCATGTGATATTTGTCTTTCTCTTTCTGACTTCACTTATCATAGTGCCCTCAAGTTCCATCTGTGCTGTTACAGATGGCAAGATTTCATTCTTTTTATGGCTGAATAATATTCCAAAACACACTACATTTTCTTTATCTAATTTTAATTTCTTGTTCTATTTCCTTCACTATTCCTGCCTCCCACACCCAGTCTGTTTATCCTCTGTTGAGTTAATTATATAAACAGGTATATTGTGTGTGAGAATTGGTTTTTAGAAGATTTCTTTAAACTTATTAATAAGAAACTCCAAAGCAAACAAAAAATATATTGATCAAGAACATCCTGTGATAAAAGGTTCCACAGAAGTCCATCACTGGCAGTGTTTTTCTTTCACTCCCAATACGATGAGATGTTTGCCAAATAAATACAGTATAATCTCAGTTTTTCACAACTTTTAAAAACAGCTTTATTGAGATATAATTCACATATCATTAAATTTTCACCCATTTAAACTGTACAGTTCAATGGCTTTTAGTATAATTGAGGTTTTTTCTTAGAATTTTACCATCAAGATGGAATGATTCTAGCCATGAAGGAATTTCAAGTGTTAAATACTGGGCTTTGAGAATCACAGAATAATGCCTGCTTTGAGAAACTGAATTGGGATTGCTTTTGTTTTTTTAAATAACAGTTTGCATCATGACCTGGCAGCCGTGAAGGAAAACACCAATATCGCTGATAACCCAAGTGGAAATGGCAAACAAGATCGGATCAAACAGAGAAGAGCTTCCTGTCCTCGATCAGAGAAGGGGACTAGATTCCAGCTTATTGTCCTTCAGGTCAGTATGTAAATATGGTTTGGTTTAAGAGGGCATGTAATAAAAAAAGAGGGCATGTAGAGCTCTGGTGGGGGGGCTGGGAGGGGCGATGTTGTTGCAAATGTGAGTATAGAATATTATGAAGCTCTGCAGCAAACACTTTTTTTTAAAGCTTTTTTTGTTTTTTTTTTGGGGGGGGTAGTAATTAGGTTTATTTATTTACTTCTTAGAGTAGGTACTGGGGATTGAACCCAGGACCTCGTGCATGCTAAGCATGTGCTCGACCACTGGAGCTATACCCTCCCCCCAAACACTCTTGAATCTTTGTACATATCCCTGATTATTTCCTTATGCTAGATTCCTAGAAGTAGAATTAGTGGGTCAAAGAGTATGGAGATTTTTAAAGTTTCTAAATATATATTTCTAGATTGCTGTCCAGAAAGGTTAGACCAGTTTACATATCCATTAGCAGTGCATTTTGTTTTGTTTCAAGAGTCAATTTGTGGGATTAGGAGAATTTTGGAAATGAATGACCAAATTTAGATCTGTGCATTGCGGATAGCTGTAGTGACTATTGTAACTTTTTTTTTTTGCCTTTTTATAAAAGTTGTGTTCCTTTTCTTTCCCAGAGGTTCACATTTCTAACTTACTTTTTTCCTGAGTAATTTGAGCCTTAGATTTGTCATAGAATGGTTGTTTAGGTAGTATTTCACCAAGAGAAAAACAATCTTTTCAAATTCTGAACAATTTAAGCCACTTTTTTTTCATATATTGTATGTGAGTTCATCCAGATGTTTCCTGTACCATTTGCAAAGAGAAGACAATGACTAACTCTTAAACTGGTAAAATGTTTGTTCCCAGGTGTCAACCTCTGGAGACAACATGGTGGAGTGTCAGCTGGAGACACACAATAACAAGATGGTCACCTTCAAGTTTGATGTTGATGGGGATGTACCAGAGGATATTGCAGATTATATGGTAAGTACAGTAAAACCAAATTATTTTCCCAGCAGCATTCTCTGTCTCATTTCCCCACTTCTAACTCTCCCCCCATTTATTCAGAGCCATCTTTTTTGGGATATTCCTAGTTCTAAAAATTTGCACAGTGCAAAATTGGTTATGATCAAGAGTAAGTCACTGTATCTCCTCTGGTTTCAGTATATTTATGTGCAAAATATGAGGGAATTTCATTAAGAGAGGATCTGTGTCAGTGGTTCTTATCTCTGGCTGCATTTTAAAATTACCTGAAGAGCTTTTAAAAAACAGTTCTGTTGCCTGAGTCCTAATTAAATCAGATTTTTTGGAGGTGAGGCCTAAGCATTAATAGTTTGTAAAGTTTCCAGGTAATTCTAATGGATATAATATCTTACATATAGGTGTTCAAGTAATATTCGTTATTTCATTTAGATTTATATTTTCTTTGAATGGTTAGGCTGAAGTTAGTATTCCTCCTCCTTATTTTTGATGGGAATGGTCTAGGCAGGAAGCATATGCTTTTGTTTCTGCCAGTTTTCTTTGGATTATACATTCCTGGCCAAGCAGAATTTAACATTTTAAAAGTTAATAATTTTGTCAGTTCTACCTATTATTCAACATGGTATTTTCTGAACTGTCTCTGGGCCATTCTTTATCATCTTTATAGATGTTTCATTTTGTGATTTTTGATGTAAAATATTTTGGGTTTGGACATCCTATTTTTAAACATTGCTTCAGTTATGTTCTTCAAATAGCAATCAATTTATAGAATGCCAGATATTTTTTAAAATGCTGGTTTATGGTAAATAGTGCCGATCTAACATATATTAGTGGTCTCAAAATAGAAAGAATAATTTAATGTATTATTGGCCTTTAGATCTAAATACTTTATTTTTCTTCATGGTAGTCACCATTGATACAGTATTATAATTTTGAAAAACTAAATTCATTCTTGTGAATAGACTTACTTTTACTTTTGGATAGGTTGAAGATAACTTTGTCCTGGAAAGTGAAAAAGAAAAATTTGTAGAGGAATTGAGGGCTATTGTAGGTCAAGCCCAGGAGATCCTTCATGTCCACTCTGCTGCAGAAAGAGCCACCGGAGTTGACTCTATTAACATGGAATCCAGCAGTAGCCAAGTAAGAGCAATTGCTTAGCAAATAGGTCTTCTTGGGTATGTATCAGGAACTTCTTTATTTATCTATTCATTTTTAATTCAGACAGGATCATCTGAACAAGTACAGATAAATTCTGCATCCACTCAAACCAGCAGTAAGTATATTTAATAAAATTTACCATTTGGCTTTTGAACCATGACATTTGGACACTTTTAATTTATACATCTTGGGAAAGATATTAGTCAGGAAAGGAATTTGATAAATTGTTGATGTAGGTTTTCCCACACTATGAATGGACTTTATAGCCCAGAAATAAGAAGTAAAAGAAGTAAGAAGTAAAAGCATTCTTCAGATTTCCTCCAAGTGTTGGTTTTACCTGATTGATTTATTTCTGAGTTGTTGCATGGTATGTTGCCAGAAAAGCAGTCACAGTACTGATGACCTTTAACAGCTTTACTGTTTGAACTTAACTGGTAAGTTTTTTTTTTTCCCTCCTGATATGAGATGGAGAGAAACTTAAACTAAAATCATTATGTTCTAAATTTGCCTCATGTTTTACTAGTCATTCACATCTTGATTTCATTCTACCAGTGATATGCTTCTACCTGCTCTGATCATTGATAAGTTTTTGTAAATCAAATACCAGATAAACTTCCAGGGACTAAAAACGGAGTCTTCTATTTTCTTTTCTCATGACCTTATTTCTCCATTCTTCTCAGCTCTGGTCATGGGTATATTTAGAATATCTGGGAGGGGGAGAAAAGCCATAGACAAATGAGGACCTCTGAAGGAATTATAACAGCATGAAGAAGCAACAGGTGGTGTGGGAGTCATGGAACCAGATACCATTACCCTGAAATTTAATTTGTGCTAGGATGCCAAGGTCCTCTGTCATCTTTTTCTCATTAGCAGGAATCTGAGCAGATTTCTGACTGACAAAGTAGGCTAAAGTTTAAAAAGAAGTACTTTTTTGAATAAGTTCACAAAGTAGGAGTACAGATATGGGGGCTTATTTTTTTTTTAAGTTATCATACTGTAAAACTGACTTTTTTTTTCTTTTGGCATACAGTTCTGTAAATTTTAGTCCTCTTATAGATTTGTGTGAGTACCACATAATCAGGATACAGAAGAGATATAGGTTTTAATGGAAATAGTGCTTTCCATTTCTTCCCAAAAAAGTGCCTTGCTTCTAATTGCTATTGATACAACGTCTGTTTCAATAGAATCTAAAATCCTTCTCTAAGGATATCTTGTGCTTAGTTTTTTAGAGTATTTATCAGTCAAGGTTGGGAGGTCTGGTCTTATAAGTTACACATATCCTAGTGCTGTTGGAAATGGAGATAAAAGACAATTTGGTGTTTTAACGTGGTTTCCTTAGTCAATAAGGTAAACATATTGACAATTGCGTAGCATATTAATTTTTGCTAATTCTTTCTGCAGATGAATCTGCTCCTCAGTCATCCCCAGTTGGTCGATGGCGATTCTGTATCAATCAAACGATAAGAAACCGTGAGGCTCAATCTTCTTCTCTTCAACAGTCCATGTCTACAGTTCCTGGGCTAAATTTGCTTTCTAGTAAGTGTTTGTCCTTTGCCAACTTTATCCAGACTTGGAGGATGGGGATGCAAAATATATACCATATCCCTAACTTGTTTTCATGGGTATTTTATACTTATGATGATTTTCATAAGCATTTTGAAGATGTTAATATTAGAGTGTAACTTAAGCCATTTAAAATTAAATATTTATGAAGAAAAAAATTTTTTTCCTTATCAGGTTGAATTCTGTGTATTTTGAGTCTTATTTACAAGAGGTAAACGTTTTCACACAGGTTCTAGTTTGCCCCTTGCTCCTCCTGTCCCTTTTGAGTTTGGGTGCTAGTCCATGCTTTGTACTTATTAATACATGCTTAACCATTCTTTATTAATTGTTCCAGGTCCAAGAAACATAAGTAATAAGGAAATACCACAGGATACACTGCTTACTCTAGAAAATAATCCATGCCAGCATCCACTTTTCACCTCCACATCAGAACAAAAGGATGTAGTTGATGGTAAGATTTCTGAATATGCCAGTGCAGAAACTAAGCAGCCAGCTGTACTTTATCAAGTGGAAGAGGACAGGCAGATAATGGCACCAGTTGCTAGTAGTTCCAGTCATTCTGCTACTTCAGTTCGTGCAGTTTCATTTGAATGTGAGGGACTCACCAACAAAGCAGGCATATTCCTACCTGTGTATCCAGGTCACCAAGCTGCCAGTCAGGCCGATGTACTTATGGCCCCTCCTGGCGAGTCAACTCAGATTGCTGGTAACTCTTTTACAACTCCAGCCTTTATGTCTGATCAAAAGCCTCAATCCTTGTCAGTGCAGCAGCCAACTGTGGATGCAGAGTTTATTTCCCAAGAAGGAGAAACCACAGTGAACACGGAAGGAAGTTCTCCTATGATGGTCATTCCCACTCAGACCCCTGGCCTGGAACCGACTACCCTTCTACCTGCTACTGTTCTGGAATCAGATGGGGAAGGACCTCCAAAAATGGAGTTTGCAGACAACCGAATTAAAACTCTGGATGAAAAATTAAGAAATTTACTCTACCAGGAGCATAGCACATCTAGCATCTATCCTGAGAGTCAGAAGGATACCCAAAGCATAGACTCTCCATTTTCTTCCTCTGCTGAAGATACACTCTCATGTCCAGTGCCAGAAGTCATAGGCATCAGTCACTGTGGAGTTCAAGATAGTCCTGCACAGTCCCCTAATTTTCAGCAGACAGGCTCTAAGATCCTGTCCAATGTGGCTGTGAGTCAGCCTGCTAACATATCAGTGTTCAAAAGGGACCTGAATGTGATAACTTCTATACCCAGCGAATTATGTTTACATGTAAGTATCATTCTTTCTAACCAATTCCTTATCCTTATGCTTTTAAAGAAATATCTTCCTTTTTAAAGTTCTGTCCTTTGAAATGAAATTGTCACAAGATTCTAAGGTCACAGGTATTTAAGAAGGCCACGAATTAGGCTGCAGGCATCCAGAACTTCTCAGTAGAGACAAAACTATCCTTGGTGAGAGAGCCCTCTGGTGAATTAGATAGGAACTTGCAAGCAATGTTTATTTTTGTATTAATGACTGAACAGAACTGATTTAGAGATTGTTTTAGTGGGTAAGAAAAACTTGCTTTTAGATTTCCACTTAAAAATACCTGTTATCGGTTTCCTTCTTTAAAATAAAATTGTGGTTTTTAAAATAAAATTATTGTGGTTTTAATTTAATCTTGTTCTGTGAGTTTTAATTGGTTTGAAATTTTTTTTAAAAAGAAAGAAAATCCTCCATAATCTCGTGACTTGTTTTTTTAAGTTATATAATATAGAAATTTAATTTCTCTTTTCTGTCCCTTCAACTCACAGAGATAACAACTATCTGGTGCTTATCCACTATTTGGTACTTATTTTTCTAGACTTAAGCTTACACAGATCTAGTTACAAACCTATAACTTCTTTTTTTTTCATTTTTTTTCAAATTTTTTTTTAAGTGGAGGTACTGGGGATTGAACCCAGGACCTTGTGCATGCTAAGCATGCACTTTAACACTGAGCTACACCCTCCCCCTAAACCTATAACTTCTTATTCACAAAAGTAGGATTGTGATGTAAACATATTGGTCCGCAACTTGATTTTTTATTTTACAGTATATCATAGACATATTTCGAAATCTTCATCACTGTATCTCATTATTATTATTATCATATAAGTACTATATGTGTGTATATAAAGTGAAATCCACCCCACTTCCAAACCTATAGACACAGCTGTTAATAAATCTTTCCAGACATGGTTTTAAATAACATACAAATATTTATACAGGCACGCTTCTTTATATGTATTTTACATATTTACAAGGACATAGATACCTACTATATATTTATATACATATACTTCTTTATATATATGTGCTGCTCTGTATTTTTTCCCACTTACTATGTACATTTATCCTTGTCAGTGCACATAGCTCTACCCCACTTAACTTTTTTAAACAACCTGCATAACATTCCATTGAATACATGTAATGTAAATACTTATTTTTTGGTAAACTAGTACTTTAAAATTAAGTGATTAGTTATAAACACGAAAGCAGTTCAGAAGAATAGAAAATTAAAAGTAATTGTTGTGTTAACACTCTCATTCCCCAAACACTCTTAAGTTCCTGGTTTTAATTCTTTTGGTCATTGCTACTAATAACTTGTAAATAATATACTTAACTATTTTTTTATTTAGTAATTTTATACAATACTTATTGACTCACTTCTATGAAAGGTGAAGAAATTATATTTTCCTTTCCCTTTCCTCCACTTTTCTTCCTCATGTACCTCACAATTTTTATTACTTAAATTACTTTTCAACATATTGGCAAAGTTTATAACATCTACATTTTTTCTGTAACAATTGGTTGTGCTTTGTCTATAGGTTGATTGGAAGAATTGAAATCAGTAAATAACATTTATATTATGATTATATGTTATCCAGCAATCATGTAATGTGATTAGAACCATAAAAAATTAAATGTAATTTTCTGTTATTTAAACTTTGTTGCTTAGAGGAGACTTCCAAATGTCAAGGTCAGATGGATTCTTTTATTTGTTTCAAGTGTCCATTGCTACAGCTGGATCAAACTTATTACCTGCCATTGTTTCTAGTGTCCTAGAATTCCTTCCCCCTACCCCTGGTATATTTCTATGAGTAATATTTTTAAATATGTTGCATGGGTGACAAATTGTTTTTGGAAGGCAGATATGCTCACCACTATACCACCAACGTGGGACCCAATTGTTTTTAATGTCCAAAAATGTCCTTTTTTGCTTTACACTTGATTAACTAAGTACAGATGATAGGGTCATTTTGAGTTAATTTTTGTATATGGTGTGAGATAAAGGTCCAGCTTCATTCTTTTGTATGTGGCTTTCCAGTTGTTCCAGCACCATTTGTTATTTTATTCTCTTTGTTGTTGTTATGAATGGAATTGTTTTCTTAATTTCCTTTTCAGATTTTTCATTTCTGGTGTATAGAAATACAACTGATTTTTGATTGTTGATGTTGTATCCTTTAACTTTGCTGAGTTTGTTTATTAGCTGTAATAGATTTTGGTGTATTATTTAGGATTTTCTGTGTAATACATACAATCTTACAATCTGAGAATAGAGATAGTTTTACTTCTTCATTTCCTGTTTTTCTTATCTATTAACTTTTCATTTCATGCTTTCCATCTCTTTGTCCTTTTTGTTTTTTATTGGGAGAATTTCTCAACTTTTAAGCTATTTCTAATCTTCTATTCAGCTATTTTTTTAATGAAAGGATTATAATTTTCATTTCTGATAACCATAATTTTTATGGCTGTCTTATATTCACATATCTCTCTGAAGATATTAAAGTCTTATTCTGTGTTACTAATGCTGTTTCCTTAGCTATTCTATTTGTTGAGTTTAGTGTTTTCTTTAAGTGCTGATTTCTCATGTTGGGAATTCTTCATTGTATACTCATTTTTTCTTTTCTCCCTGTAAGATTGCTTGTTTGTCTGTAAATGCTATATTTAATTACTGTAGTCTGGGCATGAGGGGTATAGCTCAGTGGTAGAGCACATGCTTGATGTGCACGAGGTCCTGGGTTCAATCCACAGTGCCTCTATTAAGGGGGAAAAACATTACTGTAGCATTACTCCAGTAATTGTGGGAAAAGCGTGGGACCTGCTTCCTGGAGCTGGATATTGCAAATATCTAATCCTACCCAGAGGGTGGTCCAATAGCTAGTCTTCAAAGGTAGAAGGGCCTCCCCTCGCTCCTAGATCTTGTCTCCTCCCTGCATAAGTGACCTTTCTCTTGGTCACATTTTCTTCTCACCACTCTTATTTGGAGCAGATGCCTTTGCTGTCTTTTGTTGGCTGTGGAGGTGGGGAGGGAAGGTGCAAAACTACCTGGCTGTTCCTTCTTTAGTACCCCAACCAGTTTACTCTTCCATTCAGTGAATGTCTGCTGAGCAGTGAGTAAGTCAAGATCTCTGTTTTTGTGAAGTTCACGTTCTAGTAGGGGGAAGATAAACCCTAAACAAATAAATAAAGGGCTATGATAGAAAGACTAAAGGATTACTTTATATTCATGATCAAAGAAGGACTTTTATGTGATGGAGACATTCACAGGTGGAGGCCTGTTCAGGGATCCAAAAGAAGACTAGTAGGAGAGTCTTATGAGATGATATTGAAGTGACAGATCTAGCATAGCTTTGTAAGCATTCTATCTAACCACTCATCCTTTTGGTTGGCCAGGGCTTTCTCTCCTGTTGGCCACATCTGCCACCTGAGTTTGCAGCATTTTGAAACAGTTCCTGCATATGTCATGGACTGCTTTTTCCTCCTTTAATCATATATGTATGTGTCTCCATTTGTTTTTCCTGTCGTAGCTGTGGATTTGGATTGGTAAGGAAAGCTAGAATAATTTGTATTTAATTTACCATCTTGATCCAGTTATTACTTATTAAAAATCTTTTCTGTAATTTCAGTGGGACCAATACAACACTTTCTATATCTTCAGTGGGACCAATACAACACTTTCTACATCATAATAATATTGAGAGTTTTTTTCTCTTTATAAAAGTATTATTATTATTAGTCTAAAATGGGACTTTGGAAAATAAAAATTGATTGTTCAGAACTTAACTTTTAATAACTGCTGACCTGCCATAAGTGTTAATAATGCTTACCCAAAACTATAGTTTACTTAGTGCCACTTAAGCTGTCTTCCTTCAGACAAAAGTTAAATCCCATTCTTTGAACTTTTGAATACTCTCTTAATTTTCTAAATAAGTAGTGACTATTCTAATGTTTCCCAAAGTATTTCTGGTTGTGTATATCAATTTTTTGTGTTAATTATTATAGGGAATTTATTTTTTAAAGTACTCATTTAGAATATAACAGTTAATTCTGACTTTTGAGGGGAGGGATGGGAGGAGAAAAAGAGGGAAGAGTGATTTTATAGCAAGCTGTGGCCTGATGTTAACAATTTTTAGAGCATGAATTTGAAATAATTTTGAGGTCCATCGTAAATTTTTGTGTGCTTACATAATGTAAGAAACTTGATTTGGTAATATTTCTCTGTAAATCTGAAGGCCTAGATATCTTGTTTTTCTGTATTTATCATGTGTGTCAGGCATCTTTAACTAACTCTTCTTAAATAATATGAGCATAAATGAAAATTTCCATTTTAAGAGCATAGGGTTTCAGTAACTTTTTTATTTAGTAAATTGGTACATATGAAGGAAATCATTTTAACTTTAATTTTCAGTTTTGAAAGTTGCTATAATATTCTAGGATAGAAGTTTAATGGTCTGCTCTTTTATTTATCTGAAGCCTAAATAATATTTTTAAAGAAAGTGGAAGGCTTAATTCCTGTGAGTTGAATACTTCAGGTTTGGTTTGGTGTGGTACTATTAATGCAAGTATACATAGCATTCTATTTTAAATTACTGATTTAGTCCATACAGGAGACTCCAATGGTATAAACAATTGCTCCAACTTACCTAAATTATTACCGTTTTGGTTTTCCTCTTTTTGTCTCCATTAGGAGATGTCCCCAGATGCTTCACTTCCAGGGGATCCAGAGGTCTATCCTGCTGCTGTGTCAAGCGGTGGAGCCATTCATCTGCAGACAGGAGGTGGATATTTTGGCCTAAGCTTTACTTGTCCTAGTCTCAAAAATCCTATTAGCAAGAAATCCTGGACTCGCAAATTAAAAAGCTGGGCATACAGGCTACGGCAGTCAACCAGCTTTTTCAAGAGATCAAAAGTCCGTCAAGGTAGTGTGCTTACAGTCAGGGACATAGACTAGGTAACATCACTTTTCATTTACTTCTGTTTCTTTTTGTTGTTGTTCATACACAAATCTTGCCACTTTTTCCACGTAGCCCATGTATGTGACACGTCCCATTAATGTCATTGCCATTTTATTTTTCCTTTTGTAATTAATTTGGTTTTAAAGTATTCATTTCATATAGATATTAAGTCTTGGGATAAATCTTGCAATGTCTGATTTAGAGTTAGGGACTTCTACAATGTTGCTTATTACATTAACACTTTTTAATTGTCTAGCAGGAGTTAAGCTTTTTCTACTTTTCTTCATTTTTGGTAATGTAAACAAATTTAGTCTTAACAAACAATTTTCTCCTTTCTGCTTATAATTTGGCAAAACTTGCAGTGGAAACAGAAGATATGAGATCAGCAGTTGCTCCTGATCCCATCCCTCTGACAGGAGAGTCCGCAGCTGATACTAGGGCTTCAAGCAGATGTAAAGCGTTGAGTGGATCATTTCAGCGGGGTCGGTTCCAGGTTTGTATCTTTGGTTGAATCCTTATCTACAAGGGCATTATAAAAGGCAAGGGCATTGAAGATCTTGGTCTGTAGATGGTAATTATATAAATACAGATCATTATCATATTTAATTTATTCCTCTTATATGTATCCCCTCACCTTCTGTAGCCATCCAGTAAAGGTGAGTCTAAAGAAATGGGGATTTTAGTAGCTGGAAAAGAGCACAGAAATGGTTCATCACTTTTTGGTTGGTGGTTGGGTCATCTTTTTTATAAATCCAGTTTCATTTCCCTTAGAATCTCAGCAACTTTATATATGGAATTAAAATTTTTAATATTTAAAAAAATTAAAGTATAGTTGATTTACAGTATTGTGTTAGTTTCAGGTATACATAGGGATTTTTTAAATTGTGGAATTTTATGTGAGCAATATGAAGCCAACTCTCTTTACAAGAGGCCCAATTGAAAAACTTTTAATATGGGGAGTATAGGTGGGATTTTTAAGTTTTGGTATTAGCAATGTGTGTACATCACAGCAGGCCATCCAGTTGTCTGTACCATAAGTTAATATTGAATTTCTTTGTGGGTTTACTCTTTGGTTAGGTGGAGCCATCCACCTTTGCCTTTTTTGTATTTCAGGTGATCACAGTTCCTCAGCAGCAGTCAGTGAAAGTGACATCTTTTGGAATAGAACACACACCAGCATTCAGTAAAATGACAAGCCAGTCTAGTGAAGAAGCTTTACCCTTTACTGAAACAGCAAAGTCCCAGTTAGTAGAAATGGAACCTACCATACACAAGCCACAAACTTCACTTTCTTCTCAGAAGTTACCAGTTCTACAGGAAACCATTAAAGAAGAAAAGAAAATTCCCAAACAAGCTGATAACTTCTCATCTTTCAGTACAGCTTGTGAGATTGATATATCTTTGATAACTCCAGAAAAGGAATTGGAAGAAAATTCAGCCACAGGAAGTAGCATGCAGTCAGGATCTGAACTGTTGCTTAAAGAGAAAGAGATACTTACTGTCGGGAAACAGCCTAGCTCTGATGGTGAATTTTCAGCCACTCTTGCTGGCACAGGGAAATCAGTGGTAAAGGCTGGTCCAGAGAGAGAAAAATGTTTACCACTCCATGAAGAAAAAGCCTGTGTTCAACCACAGAGCTCACTCTTCTATTCACCATCTTCCCCAATGAGTTCTGATGATGAGTCAGAAATAGAGGATGAGGACTTAAAGGTGGAGCTTCAAAGATTACGAGAAAAGTAAGGACTTTATCTTCTGTCGAAAATCTGATTGTGCTGGGTTTTATAGAACTAAGTATTTGACTGGTGGCTAATTGAGGATTGGTGACATTTTAATGATTGAACAAAAATTTATGATCGAAAACTACAAAGATAGCATCAGATTCCACAGGCTAAGGGCCCAATCCTACAAGACTTCCCCCCTTCAGATGCCTATCAGAAGTCCAGGTAGTTACCTGTTACCTATGCTTCTGACCAACTTGTTATAAATCAGAGGTTCTCACGAACCTCTCCTCAGGTTTGATTAACGTGCTAAAATGGCTTACAAAACTCAGGAAAATTTTCCTTACTGGATGATTGGTTTATTATAAAAGGATACAACTCAAGAACAGTCAGATGGCAAGATATAGGGAAAGGGGCGTGGAGCTTCCATGGCCTCTCAAGAGTGCCACTTCCCAGCACCTCCAAATATTCACCAACCTGAAGCTTTCAGAACCCCTGTAGTTTAGGGATTTTTATGGAAACGTCATTACAGTAGGCACGATTGATTAAATCATTGGTGGTTGGCAATTAATTCAATTGCCAACTAATTCACTCCAGCCTCTTTCCCTTCCCCAGAGATAGGGAGGGGAGGGGCTGAAAGTTCCCACCCTCTAATCACCTGGTTGGTTCCCCTGGCAACTAGCCCCCATCCTTAGGGGTTATCCAAAACTCATTTCATTAATATAAATTCAGGTGTGATTCAAAGTGGTTGTTTTGAATGATAAGACTTTGTTATTACCTTTATCACTTTGGAGCTATTGCAGGAGCTGGAACTATTTGAGGGCCAAAGACCAAATATAACAAAAGATCCTCCCATTGCTCTAATCACTTAGGAAATTACAAGGATTTTAGGAATTGTGTGCCAGGAATAGGGACAAAGACCAAATACATGTTTTTTTATTATAAATCATAGTATCAAAACAGTAAAAAAAAAGAAAAATAAAGCACACAAAACAATCTCCTGTTTCTCATGCCCTAATCTCATTTCTCAGAGGCAACTGCTGTGAACTGTTTGGTGCATATTGTGCCTGTCATTTTTCTATGCATTTATAAATATATAGTTTCTGCATTTTACAAAAGTTGGATCATAATAAATATTATTCTACAATTTTAGGAGTTAACATTGTCTCTTTATATTCATGTTTGAGTATTCATGTATACCAATAATCTTTATTCCCTATACACTATAGAGTAGCATATAGCCATTTAAAGTTTATTTAATTTTTTCTTAATTGGCATTTGTTTTATCCCATATTTTGCTTATGTAAACAATGTTGACATAAACATCCTTATATTTTGACATACTTAATGTTGAGTATTTTTATAGGATAGATAACCTAAAAGTGGAATTGCTGGGTTAAAAGGTGTGTACATTTAAAATTGTCATCCAGTGTAAATATATCATTTTATATACCAAACAAAAATATATGAAAATGCCTGTTTTCTGACGCCTTAACAATATTGAACTGGATATTATTGATCCTTTTTATTTGATTCCAATCAGATGAATTTAAAAAAAAATTTTTTTTGGAAAGTACTATTTTATTTTTTATTTTTATTTTTTTAACATTTTTATTGATTTATAATCATTTTACAATGTTGTGTCAAATTCCAGTGTTCAGCACAATTTTTCAGTCATTCATGGACATATATACACTCATTGTCACATTTTTTTCTCTGTGAGTTATCATAACATTTTGTGTATATTTCCCTGTGCTATACAGTGTAATCTTGCTTATCTATTCTACAATTTTGAAATCCCAGTGGGATAGACTGGGATTTCAAAAATTTTTTTTTAATTGTGTTCTCCTAATTAGTAGCGAGGTTGTGCATCTCATATTTATTGGCTACTTGTGCTTCCTCTTCTTTGGAGTCATCTTTTCTTATTCTTTCCCCTCTTTTCTATAAAGTTGTTTCTTTTTTTCTTACTAAGTTTTAGAAGCTATTTATATATTCTGAATATTAACCTTTTACTGTATGTTACAAATTTTCTCCCTGTTTATACTTGCAACATATAATAAAGCAAAATTAATGTTATCAATACTATGTGACTATACTACATTTAACTTTTTAATTGTTTTTCACTATATTGAAATTTTTGAAATTTGGTATCAGTTTATTTAACTTTATGTCTCATTAGTTCAATGTTGTACTTAGAAAGGCATTTAACATCCTGAAATTGTGAAAATATTCTGCATTTCCACATTCTTAAATACCTTGTTAAACTTTACTTGTTTGTACTGGTGTAGAGTTCTTTGGCTCATCTATATGGTGCCAGTGCCATTAAAATGCTTTCTGTATAATTTTCATTCAGACACATTCAGGAGGTGGTAAATCTTCAAACCCAGCAGAATAAGGAGCTGCAGGAGCTCTATGAACGCCTTCGGGCAATTAAAGATAGTAAAATCCAATCAGCAGAGACTCCTCTGACACCTGCATCACCACGCAGACCAAGATCTTTCAAGAGCAAACTTCGAAGCCGTCCCCAGTCCTTGACACATGTGGACAGTGGCACAGTTGCTACAGGTAAATCAGTCTTAAAAGTGATTAAAAGGAACTGGTCAAAGGTCAGCAAAATTAGAAAAATAATGATAATATGTTTATTTTTATCAAGCTAAGATGGTTTAAAGAGGTGTATATTATTCTGAGATTCTTTTCTACCTTTTTGGTGCTAAATGTTCTTTTATGAAATAATGGTGAGGATAGATGATAGAGTTTGGAGAGCAGATGAGTATTTTATGTTTTCATTTGGAAAATAAATACTGGGAAGCCCAATTTCAATCCCAAGAATAGTTTTTGAAATGTTAGCAATCGGTGGGAACTGCTGGTCTAGCATTTACAGTTTGTTGATGAGTTTGTTATTTTAAGATAATCTTAAAAATATAGTCATGTTCTATCTGATGAAAGAGATCTTTATTTATTATGAGAATCTTAGAAAAATGTACATCTTTAATTTGTAAAAAGAGAGGATCAGTCTCTACTTAACTTTTAGAGAAGTTGTTACTCAGGTCAGACTTCCTTGGTTACATGTGCATGGTCAAGGTGGGGGTTGAGGATGAACCGCAAGGATAGATATGAGATCTTAACAGAATTTGTAGTAGGCAGAATAATGCCTCCCCTCCAAAGATGTCCATGTGCAAATCCCTGGAACCTGTGACTATGTTCAGTTATATTACAAAGGGTAATTGAGGTAAAGATGCTAATCAACATTTAAAAATGGGGAGATATCCTGGATTATCTGGGTGGGCCCAGTGTAATAATCACAGGATCCTCTAAAATGGAAGAGAGAGGCAGGAGAGAGGGTCAGAGAAAAGATGTCCGCCTACTGGAGCCAACGTCGTGGCTAGACCAGCCCTTGTGGTTTTTATTATGATGGCATGATGCACCTCAGCAACAACCATCAAGGAACTTTGATAAAACCAGGTTTATTATTCACAGGTCCTGGGAAATCAACATCATACCTGGGGCCACACAGCAAGAGGTTGGAGGAGCAGGGGGAAGCATGCACTAGAGAGCAAGAGTGCACAGGAGTAGAGGTTATTCCTTATTGGGATCGAGGATGGAGAGCCTAGGGTTTCACAGGCTCACTCTTTATTGGTGAATTTGAAACACGAGAGCAGGAATTAAAGTACAGGAAGAGAAAAGCAGGATCACTCAGTTATGAGTTATCAAGGTCAACCAGAGCTTTTTAAAAGGGTATAACTTCATGCGTTGGGTGGCATGGCTCTTTGTCTAGTTGTACAGCTGGCAGTGTGTTTATTTGATATGGATTTCTTTGAAATGGATACCTCAGCAATCAAAAGCTTAATGGCAGGCACTTATAATCAAAAACGTTAATTGTCAGGCACTTACACTACACTGCCTCTTTCTAATCAACCATGGAATCTCATGGTAAAAACATGCCTTTTGAGACTGCTTTTTTGACTGGAACATTGTCTTTGAGATTCTTTAAGTTATTTTGTGTTATAATAACTTGTTCCTTTTTGTTGCTGAGTAATATGCCATGGTGTGGATGTACGACAGTTTGTTTATCCATTCACTTGTTGAAGGATATTTGGGTTCTTTCCAGTGCTGGGTTTTACAAATAAAGCTGCTATAAATACTCATGTAAAGCTTTTTAGGTGAACACAAGTATTCAGTTCATTTGGATAAAATACCCAGAAGTAAAATTGCTGACTCATATGGTATGTATATTTAATTTTTTTCTTTTAAACAATTTTTATTTATTTTTAGGGGGGAGGGGTGATTAGGTTTATTTATTTTAGTTAAGATACTGGGGATTGAACCCAGGACCTTGTGCGTGCTAAAACATATGCTCTGCCACTAAGCTATTACCCTCCCCTCTATATTAAAAATTTTAAGAAACTTTGAACTGTTTTCCCAAGCAGCTACATCATTTTCCATTCCCATCAGCATGTATGAGACTTCCATTTTCTCTGATGCTCTTCAGCATTTGGTATTATTGTTATTCTTTATTTTAACCAATCTACTAGGTATGTGGTAGTATTACATGGTGGTTTTAATTTTCATTTCCCTGACGAATTAATGATGTTGTATGTTTTTTCCTTATGCTTATTTGCTATACATATATCCTCTTTGGTGAAGTGCCTATTCAAGACTTTTGCCATTTTTTGTATCCTGTTTTTTAGAAGAGTTTATAAAGAATTGGTGTGAATTCTTCCTTAATTGTTTGGTAGAATTAAATAGTAAAGCCATCTGGGCCTTGGTTTTACATATTAGACATTTTTAAGACACAAATTCGGTCTCTTTGCTTGTTGTGTTAAGATTTTTTTCATCTAAAATATCAAATTTGTTGGCATACAGTTGTTCATAGTATTCTCTTAAAATCCTTTTTATTTCTGTATGATTTATAGTGATGTCAGCTTTTTCATTTTTTTATTTTAGTAATTTGAGTCTTCTCTCTTTTTTTCTTGGTTAGTCTAGTTAATGGTTTGTCAATTTGGTTGATCTTTTCAAAAAAACCAACTTTTAGTTTCATTGATTCTCTTTACTTGCTTTTCTTGATTTCATCTATTTATATTCTGATCTTTACTATTTACTTCCCTCTACCTGCTTTGATTTTAGTTTACTCTTTAAAATTTCTCTAGAGTAAATTCAATGAGATCCACACCTAGACTTTCATCAATTTAATTATGCTATGCATAGGTATGGATCTCATTGATACTTTTTTCTGCCCCTTTCTTTTTATTGTTTGGGACTCCCATTATATTATGTATATTTTGTCATGCTTGATGGTATTCCACAGGTCTCTGAGCCTCTGTTTATTTTATTTCATTCTTTTTTCTTTCTGTTCCTCAGAGTAGATTTCTGATTCTTTCTCTTGCTCACTCAAATCTGTTGTTGAGCCTTTCTGATGAATTTTTTGTTTCAGTTTTTATACTTTTCAACTCCAGAATTTCTATTTTTTTAAAATAATTTCTATCTCTTTATTGATGTTCTCTATTTGGTGTGAGACATTGTCATCATATACTTTCCTTTAATTTTTTAGGCATAGTTTCCTTAAGTTGTTTTGAATACATTTATAATAACTGATTTTAAAGGCTTTGTCTACTAAGTCCAAAATGTAGGCCTCCTTCAGGATGTTTTTGTTGACTCCTTTTTTTTTCTTTTCTATATATGTGGCATAATTTACTATTTCTTTGCATGTCTCCTAATTTTGGGATAAAACTGGACATTATAGATAATATATTGCAACAGCTCTTGAATCAGATTCCTTTCACCCCCTTCCTCTGTAGGGCCAACTGACATCCTTCAAAGTCCAACAACCCCCATTTCTGTGCTCTCAGATGTCTGCTTGTGTTCCTTCAACAGATAAAGTACATTCTTTACTGGTCATGTTTGCCCTAACAAACTAATAGCCCTAGGTAATGCCTAATCTCAACAGTAGCTCAGGCTGGTTTGTTTCAGCCTACCTTATCAGAGTCATAAACCCCACCACCCTTCATGGACCCTAAACCTTTCACCTCACCTACAACCAGAGACTTGTACACATCAGACATCTTGTGACCCTACCTTATTAAAGACCCCAACAGCCGACCCTCAGTGCTCACGCAGGCACCTCTCACCTTTGTGGCCCACTGTTGTCTATGACAGTGTACCCTAATAAAGTCCTTTACTATTCTTCTCCTTCATCTCTGGTAAATTCTTTTACCAACCCGTGTCACTGACTGGCTGCAGTTGTGTCCCACAACAACCAAGGTTTGTTGTTGCTGTATTTTGCTTATTATAATTGTTAATATTTTTTTGTTGCTGCTTATTTGTTTAGTGATTTTCCTTCACTAATTCTATATTCCACGAGTTCTTTGCTCGCTAAAAAATTTCTAAAAAATGTGTAAAGCCTGATATGCTAGGGTTCACTCCTGGGCCAGTACTTGTAGTCGTGAACCAATGATTGGTTGGAAGATTTCATTAAATGCTTTGTCTTGTTGCTTTTTGCCAAGGAGATCTCTGTGAGAAGGCACATGTTCAGGCTTCAGTTTGTAAGACACCCTTTGAATTTACTTCCTGCTTGCCCAGAAACTCAAGTTCAGCCAGAATTGAGTAACTAGTCCCTTCTTCTTTCTCAGGTCTTTCTTGGCATGGCAAACATTTACATTCTCAGGAATATATCAGAAATTTTCAAAGTTTCCTATGGTTATCTACTTGTCCTAGCATTCCTTTTTAATTCTAGACTAGGCTCTTATTTGCCCCAACTGAAATCACAGCCTTAGGCTTCTGAGTTGTTGCCAGCACTTTCCTATTATTTCAGTAATGTCTTGGAGGTAGCCTCCTACCCTCTCCCCACCCCTCATACTCATGTCTGAGTGGGCTGAGCTGAGGTCTAAGTGAAATCAAATATTCATCACACTGAGAATAGAGATTTTCCCAGGTTGCTGCAAGTTTAGACAAAATATTGACTGTGCTCCAGGGATGATGCTTTTAAGGCAGCTCAAAAAGAGTTCTGTTCTCCCCATTGTCTACAGTGCTGCTGGCTTTTGGCTACTACAACACTGAGCTGGGGAGGAAGGAGGGATGGGAATTGCTACATGTTAAAATGCCACAGACCTCAGTAGTTTGTCTTGGATGAATGATTTTTATTTTGTTCTGTGTCTTTGGATAATTGTCAGAGTTTCAAAATGGTTGGTTTTAGTTGTTTTGCCCATATTTTCATTGTTTTAAGAGCAAGTTTACCTAGGCTCTTAGGCTGCGTTTTTTGAAGGCATTCTCCTTCCTCTTTTTCTATTTTCTGAAAGAGTTTTTGTTGAGTTAGTATTACTTCTTTAAATGTCTAGAAGAATTTCCCAATGAAACCATGTGAGCTCAGAGACTTTTTGGGGGAGGTTTTTTAGCTTCAAATTCAAATTCTGTAATAGTAGTTACAGGCTTTTGCAGATTATAAATTTCCTATTGGGTGAGTTTTGGTAGTTTGTGGTTTTTGAGAACTTGGTCTATTTCATCTAAGCTGCTGAATCTTTGTGTTTAGAGTATTTCATTACTATCTTTTTAATTTCTTGAATATTTATAGT